GTAGAGCCATGTCGGTGGGGAGAAACACAAGGAAGCCTCTGTTAGCAAAAGCAAACAAGGCAAAGCAAGTAAAGGTATAAATCAGGAGTTTTCAGAGGACAGTCATATTGATTTGGCCCATAGGGCATCCTCATGTGGGCCACTAAGACACTGTATAAATACTCTTCTAAAGCCAGATCAAGGCCAGCCCTACCATTAGGTAGAGTGAGATGCTTGCCTCATGTGCTCAGAGATGAGGTGGGGAGCAGCAGCAAGGTGTGGGATGACAGAGCTCATGACCTCTAAGTGGGCCTACTGCCCATTGCCAGTGTGAAAGTAAGGTGTAGCTGCAAGTCCACTCCATTTCTATGCACGCATCTTCTCTTCCTCTGTTGGCTCTGAGCCACAACTCTGTAAGCAGGACAAAGGAAAATGGCAACCAGTATCATGAGACCTTAAGGCTAAAAGGGGGCTGAACATTATCCAAGCATCTACCTTAAACAGTCAATATTCAGGGCCATTTCATACTAGAAATGAGGTATTTGGTCGTGTCCAGCTCTCTTCACTGCAGGAGAACCCCAGTGAACCATAATCATGATGGTGACAATACACAGTGCAATCCTGAACACAATCACTTCAAAATAGGTTCAGTGAGCTTTATTCTGTAATGAGATTTAGGATTGATGCCTAAAGCTCTTGAAGAGATACTACTAAGACAAACTGAAGGGTTAATAAGAATAAGTGCAACCTGTAAACCCAAAGGTATCTTTGACATTTCATTTATCCTTTCTCGAATTTGATTAATTCTGGCTGATTCCACAAAAGCCAGCAGATACAATCTTACACCTTCACTGGGTTGATAGTTAGGGAAATAGCTAATATTCTACTTTTGTTTTTAAAGTAATTATTGGTGTTCCTTCCCTCCCATGCAAACAGATATTTCAAATATTTATTTCCTTGCTGAATTTCTTCTTACCTAAGTTACAATTCTAAGCCGCCCCGAGGCTCATGCGATGGGGCGGCATATATGTTGTTTAAATAAATAAATAAATAAATAAATAAATAAATAAATAAATAAATAAATAAAATTTTACTGTGCCTAATCCTTACATTTTTGGAACTGTTAGGTATCAAAAAGGAGATTAAAAGCTGTTTAATGGTTTCCAACTGGGACTGCATAACAAAGTACATGGACTGAAGACATCCAGAGCTGACTTTTAATTGCAAGTGTTTCTATCCTCACTGCTTTGACCTAGCCATTACACACATATTGTGCTGATAGCATTTAGCACTGCAAATGAGACATTCATTGTCTACAATCATTACATATTTATCCATAAGTATTCTGTATCAACAACAAGACCGAGTTCTTGAACCTGTAGTGGGTGAAAGAATGCACACATGCAGGGTATCATAATTTGACAAGCATCAATATGACAATTAATATATGCTGGCACAACTAAATAATAAAGGATTACAGCCTCAGAGATAAACAAAACACTCTAATTAAATGGGTTAATTGCTGCCAATGGAACATTTAAAATTGTTTCCTGCCTGAGACTGAAACAAAGTGATAGTGCAATCCTGGCCATGTCTGCCCAGAATTAATTCCTACCAAGTTCAATGAGGGTATCAGATTGCAGTCTAAACCTGTCTGGATGCCAAACCATTGGGTAGGTTGTTGTTGGTAGACTTATTGGTTGTTGTTGCTCAATGTAGTGGTACGCGTGCGTGAAGAAACAGGTACAGAGTAGAAATACCTCTAAAACATTATGGAGTAATGGTAAACATTTCTGCTTATGTCCCATTATACAGCATATCTTCAGGGGGTTGATTTAAGGAAAGGGAGACATGGGCAGAACGAATTCCTCAACACAAAGCCTTAGGAATCCTATTTGTGGACTACCACATTTTTCCATTTTAATTTTTTGAGGACGCCATTTTGTTTTGAATTGTACTGTAGGCAGCAGAATTAGAAAACAGCATTTAGTTTGAAAAAAGCAAAGAGGAAAAAAGGAGCCAGAACTTCATTAAGTACTGTTCTCCCTCACCAACAAACATCTCTGCTTCAGATCCACTACATGCAGATTGTCTGTTAGACATAAGATGTCTGAACCAAACAAAAGAGAATGATTGGACACCCAAGCACCTTATGTGAAGCACAGACTGAATGTGCATGTCTTGATGTAGGGCAGAAAAGCCCAGTATCAAACCAGGGTGTGTCTTCAATCATGTTGAGAAGGTAGTAAAATAGCATTTTTACATAAGAAGCTGCCTTGTACAGAGTTAGATTACTGATCACCTAGCTTAGAAATTCTACCAGGCTGACAGAGGCTTTCTAGGAGTCTTTCCCAGCCCTACCAGGAAATGCTGGGATTGAACCTGGGACCTTCTTCATGTAAAGCAGGTGCTCTGTGTACTTTCCCAGTCAGCAACTGAAGTTATTCAACAACAAGGAGCCAGAAAAGAAGTAGAATACTTGGCTTTGCATCACGTGCATGTTGATTTGCTTCCCTAGACAAATCGGTCAGGAGAGCTAATCACATGAACTAGGCCTAGCTGCTTATTTAGATCCCTTGAAGGAATGATGGTTTGGGTGTGGATGGGAGAAGGACTTGAAAATAAAAGATCTAATTAGGATTTCATTCTTTGTGTCGTGTATATTTCATCTGTTAATCTAAAGCCAAGATTCACATGGCAGCATGAAAATTTCATCTTCCATTTCTGGTTTGATTTTTTTTTAATATTTGGGTTTCCAGATAAACACTTAAATCTTAACTATCATCCTGAGGATTGTGCTCATATATGAAATAATTAAGTCAAGCTGCACTCAAGTAATTTTCTGAGTTTTGAATTCTTAAGCAATTTCACATTGGAGGTAAAGTTAAAAGGAACTCCTGGGTTCACAGTATCAAACTTGGAGGTATACTTGGAAGATCCACTGAAAGCACATCCCATTTTAGAATTTTGTGAGGTGCTCTTATGCATCCAGATTTCCAAGGCAATATTGCAATATTCATCCCCACAAAAAACATTCCTTCCAATAGAGATGCCACGTTGCTTTCCCACCTCTTTCTCATTCTCCCTCTCTCTCATTCTGTTGCTCGCTCGCTCAAAAATTATGTGCTACAAATGTACAAACTTTTCCTCCAAAGCCAGGTTTCACATGGAAATTGACACTAGCTAGTTTCAAGTGTAGAGAAGTCCTGTATCACATTCACCAAAGTAGTGAGTCCAAATAAAGGCTGCAAGTAAGGCGCAAAGATTGGCTGCCAGGAACATGATATTAATAGAGGGCTTTTCTATGCTCTGTCTTGCGCCTCGCTAAATTCTGCTCCCCTCTGAGCTCTCTATTTGCAGGCTGGTGTTGGAGCATGGATTTGGGGGGCAGGGGGAGAGAAAGAGTTGTGACAGTCATAATCAGTGATCTCATGGGTACTTTCTAGTAGGTACCCCTGGCATTTGCAACACTACATTCTAAACAGCATTCCAAATCACTACTGTCCTCTAAGCTGGGGTAAGCAGTCACATTCTCCTTGCTGCGATATAGGCTGGTTTGGGAAATTAAACTTATGTCTCTAAAACAGAAGTGCTTTCTTAAAGGAAGATGCCCAGATGTTCCAGAATAAGAACAGCGCAACAAATACACAATATATTCATAATCCAGAAGCCCTTAGCAATACAATCCTAAACATGCCTACTTAGAAATGCAAATCTCAATTATGACTGGGACTTCCTCTCAGGTAAGTATGCATAGAAATGTAATCTTTAAAAATTTGCTGAATAAACACATATATACACATGAGTAAGGAATGGCATGTGCGCTTTTGCTATATGAATGATGTTGGCTTGTTTCTAGTACATATAGAATAATATAATTCTCTAAAGCAAAACAGCCCCCCGTTCTCAACATTCTGAACAGTCCGAATTGCCATATTTGTAAAGAAAGTGCACGGCTCTTTGGCAATATAAGGGAACTTACTTTTTCATTTTAGCTCCCCTATCACTTCATTATCTTTTTCTAAAACTTCAATTGTTCCTACAGGTATCTGCTGCCAAATTTGAAATCTGCATCACCTCAGACAGTCACCAGTTATTGGTAACCTGCCACTCAACTACAATGAACTAGTCTTTAATAGAGGGACAGAACGCCATCCTTTGCCATGCATGTTTCCACCATTGGTAGCCCACCGTACCTTCAAGACATCGGTCCAAATGTATTTAAAGAGTAAAATATAGAAAGGATAACATCCCAGAAGCAATGACAAACTTCAAATGCTCCATACTGAATTTCCAGAAATCCTGAGATTTACTTCTAAACTTGAACTGAAAAGAATCTCTCTCTCTCTCTCTCTCTCTCTCTCTCACTCTCTGTATGTATGTACATATGTATGTACATACTTATATGCATGCATATTGTAGTGTGCAGGCATGTACTTTTGTCATTTTGTTACTCAGACTTTAGTCCATGAAAGTAATGTTTTTCTTCAACAAGGAAAGCTGTAAACTGTCGAAATTTTAATTTAAATTTCACTTTATTTACCTACCCTAAGACTGCTAATTTTGGACTTCAAAATTATGAGATTCATGAACATCAGCAGCCCAAGGCAAAACTCTCTTCAACACAAGGGAGCTGCATAATTTGACCAGGGAACAAAGTTATAGAAGAAGACCAAGGGTGAAGCCAGAATGAATGTGGCAGGCCAAGAACAAGAGGCAAGGTATGTAAACCCTGAAGAACTGACTTGTGGGTCTGCAGTTTAGTCGCTAAATGTACTAGGCCTTGGAACAGAATAGGAGAGCGAGCAGTCATCAAAACATGGACTGGCACTGCACTGTCAAGAGGGCAAGTTCCTGTATTCTATCATACATTGTTTGTTCCTCTTCACACATGCTCTCCCTGTAGTGCCACAAAGCATAAAGGGAACCCAATAAAGTAATGCTTCCAAGCTTCTGTCACTCTCCATGTTCCCCAGTTGCCTTCTTTTGTGGTTTTTCCCCACTCCCAAAGCCATTCTTACCTCCAGAGCTTCCCAAGTGTCTTACTAAGCTCTGCATTGTGGAGATGAGGATACTGGTCTGCCAGCTTCCTCCGGGCCGCTTGTGCCCATACCATGAAGGCATTCATAGGCCGCTTGACATGGGGCTTGCTCTTGCTGCTTCCATTGACCCGCACAGGCATGGGCACCAAGGTCCAGTCGTAGCCACTCAGTACCTGGCTCACTGCCTCCCGTATGCAGACAGGGAACTTATCGTCATCCGCTTCGGAGTCCTGCTGTTCCTTCTTCACTTTCCCTATCTCACTGCTGCTGGGGTTGCTAAGGTGAGAGCTGGTGTCTGATGCCATGGAAGGTCCAGGTGAGAGGCAATGGGGATCTTCGGAACCCACAGGACTCATCTCCACCTCAGAAAGGTCTTGGTCATCTGTCATGGTTTCCTCTTGGTTTTACTGCTCAGTAATCACAACTTAACTGAAATAAACAAACAAACAAGAAGCCAAATGTGAACACAAAACTAAAGATGTTCAAAATCTTCCAATTATTGGCTAAGAGCCAGTAGATACTTAATAAGAAATCAGGAAGCAAATTGTCTTGCCTGTCATTTTATGAGACGGGCAAAATATGCTATCAAAGGTGACTGAAGATTCAAATTAATTGGAAACTTCAGATAAGTGATTTAAAAGTTTCTAGTGTGAGAACAACTCTTTTAGCCAAACACCTTGTCCACAAATAAAGTTGGGGGGTGTCTTCAAGAGGAAAAAGACTAGAAAGGAAGAATTTTTGAATGTCTCCTTTCACAGTCTAAAGAGGGCTGGGATTTCAAATGCAACTCAATTTGCCTTGGGATTGGAGTCAAGAATATTGGCAGGGGAGAGGATAAAAAGTTGGTTTTAGTATTAAAGGATCAAAACAAAAACGCTTTATGATTGTGTGAGAAGTACATTCGGAGTGTGTTCTCTAGCACACTATGCCCTTTGAAATAGACCAGGTAAAAGGCGCAATAGAGTTGGATGGAAATATTTTGGCTTCATGTTCTCTTCCTGTTCAACGTACATTCCATTTTTTAAAACTTATGCATATATATGTATATGTACACACACACACACACTCTTCCAGAAAACTTTAAATTTTGGTTCACTATAGTGCCTCACCTCTGTCACCTCTTAAAGGTTTTGTGCACTCTTACTCAACCCTTAGAAAGAAAGACTTAAAAATAAAGATCATGCCGCCGCCGCCACCAGTTCCCTATGAAACGAGCCATACAAAAGTTGACTGTCTTTTAAATGCGCAACAATCCATTCAGCACTCATATTAACAAAAGCAGTCATTTTTATCTGATGAAGAAAACCTGAAGGAGAAAGCTGTCAGTTATTTAAAAAAGCAGAGAGAGAGAGGAAGCAAGTTACCAAACTCAGGTAGGAAAACTTACGTTGGCTGGTCAGGCAAATCCTAAGAGAGCAGTAATTTGTATCCCAATAGCCTCTCTGTTCTCCTTTTACAAGCCTGGTGGCTTTCAGGAGCTGTGTGCTGAGGGAACTCTCAGACAAGTGCCATTCCTAGGGGGCGGCTTGGTTTTTCCTAATACCCTGCATGAATGTCTCTGTGACTGGCTTGCTGCTTAACACTGGGGGAGGGAAAGGCAGAGGGTGGAGCTAAGAGCTCTTTATGGCCCAAATACATTCATTGTATGCAGGCAGGAGATTCTTAGACAGCCCCCCACCCCCCACACTTCAGCCCCATCTCAAACCACCTCTTGCTCAGATGAAGGGTTTTGGGGGGGCACTGCAGTCAATTTTTAGTTAATTTCTGTTACACAGGATGTAGTATTATTGTTATCGTAGCTATTATTTTCGAGCATCTCTGTGAAAAAAGGACTGTGTTTAGCGGCTGCTTCATGGAAGTAACAGCCTCTGAATATGTGGCATTACACATCCGAACTGTGCACACTGATTTTTCACTATGTTTTCCAAAGCTGCAGTTAACTATGGTATTCCAGGGCTTGTGCACAGTGAAAACTATGCACAGCTGCCACTTATGATTATATGGACATGGGCACAGCTACACAGGATGTGCCCTCGATGTAGGACTTGTATACCTAATGTGAACTGTTAGCCTTACCTAATTTTTTTCTCAACCTGAGCTTCCCTCAGCACCTCTGCTTGTACACATGTTTGAGCCCTGCATCTTTCTGTGGGGTTTTATAAGTCTCCAGAATAAGTGCCTTTTTTCATAAAGAGCACCAGATAAACTAGACATGCTACTGAAGAGTCTAAAAGCAGTTAGAGTTTTAAACACATGTTTCAATCCATCACCTGCTGCCATACCTGAATTCTGCCAAAAATGGCTTCCTGGCCATTCTCCTGTGTGTCATAGAATCTAGCTACAGGGTATTAAAGTGATTCTTAAGGGAAGAGTGGTCTCATCAGAAAATGAATACAAATTTTAAATGCTAACATTCACCTCCCTGCAAAGGCTCTTTAACACTATCAAAACTAGCTTGCAATGGGGAGCTGTCCCTTTGTCATGTGTGATGTCATGGGCACTATATGGTAAGGCTTGCTGTGTGTTTATGGTGACAATAGAGCTAAAGGAGAGAGGGAGGGAGGAGCGGGATAATCTGATTTTCACAGGGAAAATTTTAAGGTTCTACCTGAAAGACCCCATCCTCTAAAATAAAGATTGAATTTTAAAGTACTAAACATATTTGGGAGTACAGAGATTCGTGTGTGCCTGTGGGGTGTCAATCACAGCCTTAGAAAACCAGGATTCAAGGCACGTGCCTAACATTGTCCCACATTCTCAGTGAGAACTGTGTCCAACCATTTCTTCTTTTCCTGCCTCTTTCATGCTCTTTGGGTCACTTATTTTAAGCCTATTAATCTCAAAAAACAACAGGGCAATTAATATCTCTAGCAAATTGAATACAGTGGAATCCATAACCAGCTGCCACTGAGGGATGCATTAAAGCTCTGAGTACATGTCTATAGACTGGAATCTTAGTATTAGTTGCCAAGTTCTTACAAAGGGTCGGGTTACTTTGTGCAGCTTTGCACTGCTGCAGAAAATGTGGGTTCACTTGTGAGCTAAGCATGTGTTGAATGCATTCCACTTATTTCCTTTGTCAGCACAGCAATTTGACTATATGTGTGGAAACCCCATTTCAAACCCCAAACCTCTATTATAGGCAAAATCAGTTTATTAATATTTCTGAGTCATTTGGCACATGCTGCTACTGCAGTATTCCATGTTGTCTTGCTAGTCAAAGCCCTCTTCTGTTTTCTCACAATTTTGGTACTAACGGGAAAAAATGCTGCTTTTTGAGGGCTTCCGATTTATTACAGATCAGATTGCCAGATGTTAATCAGGAAATCAGGCTTCTAGCTTTAAACACCTTTCCCTAACCTGGTGCCCTTCAGGTAGGTTGGACTACAATTCCCAGCATCTCCCAGACAGCTATGGGATTTGCAGTCCAAGTCATCTGGAGGGAGCCAACTTAGGCAAGGTTTTACAAGTCCAAAGCAGAACAATATAACACAGTAGCTGCTTGTTTTCCTGTCAAGCTACTTCATGGATTCTGTCTCTTCACCCTCCTTTCTTACCTGCCTTTTACAGTACTGTGAGTAAAATTTGACTTGCTATAGCAAGCAAAAGGCCAGTGAAGAAAATCTTGGATTGGTGGAAGGAAACACAGGAGATGTGTGTCTGCCATTGCTACAGGCATGATCCATGGCAGTGGTGTAAATCCACTGAGTCTCCCGCAGATATTGCTGATGTAGACATAGCTTTATGATGCTGTCCTTAAAAACTTGCAGAAGTAAAACTTCAATTCCATCTTAAAATGGTATCCTATCCAGTACTTGTTGTTTTGGGACTAGGAATTATCTTTAGCTTAGGGTCAGGTCCTGAAATTTATGAAGGAAAAGTCTGAGCTTATTCAGAATGCAGCCCGAGCTCTTCGCAAAACCCAGGAGCACAGAGGAAAGGTAGCAATGGTGATATTATGCTGGTATTACTCTTGCTGAAGTGCTTACTGGTATGTAGTTTCAGATAGTCTGGGATTTTCTTGTGTTTTTTAAACTGCTGACCTTTTAAACACAATTGACAATGGAGCTGCCTGTTTTCTGGGTGGAAGTGGACTCTGAAAATGGCTTGTCCATTTGGAGTGTGAGGTGGGGTGGAGTGGAAGTGAGTTCAATCCACATTTAGAGGTGCTTTGATCATGCAAACCACATTGACCGAGTTCAGACAATGTGACAACCCACACTCAAGGGCTGAGTATATGTTGAATGTGTTGGTTAACTACAAACAACCCATGAAGATAATCCATGATTTGTTGCTTAATTGTGAACTTCGGGTTGTCTGTGGTTAGCAAACCATGAGTTGTTATTGCAGATGGATTCAATGACCCATGTTTCAGCAACAATCCATATTCAACCATTACTCAATTCTTGAAACTCTGAAAGAAAATTTGTCCTAAATTTTATGTCCAAATTTTTTCTTTCTCTCCCACCATACATACACACAGCTTTGTTATTGTTGTTGTAGTTGTTGCAAGCCTTCATGTCTCTTCTCCAGGTGAAAAGCAGTTTTGGGGTTTCAGAAGTGCATTCATTGTTTCAGAAATGATATTTCTTTAAATCTAGTCCTACTTATTTAGGTGCCATAATACAGGCTCAAACAGCACACTTAATCCAAACAGATTATTACAAAGAACAGAACAATGTTTGATTTCCTGTCATAAAAGTAACGGCTGCCTTTCCCAGACTTTTTGGATCAGCAGGTGCAATTGGAATTTTAAAGTGTTATCAGTATTATCACAAAATGGCTGCCATGGAGGATGGGGCTTGCCCATTCATAAAATGGTTGTTATGGTCACAAAACACCCATTTCTTAGAAGACAAACTGAGGAGGCTAAAAAAATTAACTTGTCCAGGAACCTATGTACAAGGCAGAAGTGGGGCACAAGCCCTAAAGCGCAAAACTACTGATGTGGACTCAAACAAAGAAGGTGCTGAAGGGCAACCTTTGCATTTCAGCAAGCCAGCATCCCAATATCAATTAAAATAAGATTATATATGTGAAGAAACAAAATTAAAACCAGCAGTGTCTCTGTGTGAACTTTCAGAAGTCTCCATGTCTGTGGTTTCTTTATATTTACATGTTATGTATGTTATATTTTTAAAATATATATTTAATCAAAACAAACAAGCAAAGATGAAGGAATCCACTTAAGTATATATCAGGGAAAAACCTCACAGTAATGGATTACCTGTCTGAATATTTCCAGAGAAAATCCTTCCCCCCCACCACTTACTTTTTATTAACTCTTAGGAAAAACCTTTAGTAATGTCTGTGCATAAGCCCACCTGGCCTAACTGTTGAACACAGATTCTGAAAGGTATTGCATGAGTCTCCAATGTGTCATCAAAAGTGGTTCATTTTGAGAGCATATCCTGAGAGATACGTCCAACACCAGCAAGTTGTCACCTGCATTTAAATCCTTTTAATCACTGACTGTGTTTTGTGAATCCCACTTTGCTTTACATTTTTATGCCCTGCTGCACTTAATGCACATAATAGTAGGTTGTAAACTTCCTGCACTTTTTCTTCAGCGAATGCGGTGAGCCACGCAAATAGGTCTTGTACGCAGTGGACCGAGTGAGGTGGGAAAGTTGCTTGGCCTTTTAAAACCACAGTCCTTTGCAATAATCCAATCAATGAATAAGTAATAAATAGAGTTTGTTAACTTCTACCTAAGGGATTAACCAATCTCTGTGACATCCTTGAAACAATATGCATCACATAAACCCAGTTGAAAAGAGATGATTTTGCCTTGCGAGAGAAGCTTCTCTTTACCCAGGCTGAGAGATGGAGGGAACTTCAGACTGAAGAACAGCCTCAGGGAGGGGAAAGGGGGTTATCTCCTCGCCCCACTGGACTATCTCCATGGCTGGGGAACACTGGCCCAATTGTTCCAGTGTCAGGCTGATACTCAGCATAGGGTGGGGGAAGAGCGCACTGGGAAACAAGAGGAGAGGCGTGCAGTTCTGCCCATGCCCAGGTGCAGGTTCCTGCTGACCTCCTGATGAAGAAGGGAGTTAGACTGGCTGCTATTTTTTCTCAGGCACACAGGATGACATGGTCTAATGGCAGAGTGTGGGAAGACAGCCGGCAGAAGAACTTGCTTCCGGATGAATTATCAGAGTTATCAGGAGCCCTCAGTTACCTCAGAGGGCTCCTGGCTGTACCTTGAAAAAGTTAAATACAAGGAAGAATTCTCCTGTACCTGTAAAACTGGGATGGGAAAAGCTGTCCCTGGGAGAAATGTCCCATCTATACACATCTTAAATGTCCGAGAAAGATACACTCAGGTGTGTTGGCACCATGAAAGAAATTTTCCAAAATTTTATCTCTCTCTTGCTCACCTCAGTGAAAATGAACCCTACTTGGGGTTTATTTTTTATTCATTGCAGTTCTATGCCATCACACAGTCAAAGCTCCTTCAGCATTTTACAACAATTAAAACCATAAAATTT